TGGGTTACCGGAACGGAACAAACTTACACGTTACTGGTCCAAGTTACAGGAGTTACTAGAGACGACTACACGGACGAGTAACTATAGATGTAGGTAGTGTGTGTGTGTGTGTGTGTGTGTGTGTGTGTGTGTGTGTGTGTGTGTGTGTGTGTGTGTGTATGTATGTGATGTAAATGGGATCAGAAGAGGTCTAACATTTGAAAGCAAACGTGAACAGATGCCCCCTTGTCAATTGATGTAAGAGACAATGGTTGAATTGTCGGAATGGACCATGACCAATTTGCCTTGTATCAGATGCAGGAAATGATCTAAAGTCTGTAGAATACATTGATGTACAGATCCAATTCAACCAAAGATCCGCTATTTCCTGGGAATCTATAATTGCTCCCCAACCCAAAAAAGAAGCATCTGTAAAAAGATTAAACTCGGAATGGGGAGGTGGAAGAAGAATGCTCACTGTAGTTTGTCCCTGTTGAGCCACCAGGCTAAATTGACTTGTAGTTGGGGGATGGAGTAGGATAACTGAGTCCAGTAGATCCCGAACAAGATTCCACTGATCGTGCAACACCCACTGAAGCATGTGAGCATGACCAAAGGGAATAAGGGCTTCCATGAAAGCCCAAGTCCCTAAAAGAGAAAGAACCTCATATGCAGTAAAATAAGGAAAGGATTAAGCTTTGAGAACTAATAGCTCCATCAATCTCAACCAAAGAAGAGAAGGCTGGGCCTGACTGAGATAGGAGTTGAAGAACACTCCCAAGTGGATAAGGAATTGGATCAGGATGAGAAAGGCCTTCTCTTGCTTGACCAGCCAACCTACATGAGCCACCTTTTGAAGAAGTAACTGTGAGTGTGTATATGTATGTGATATTTTTTGTTTGGATGGAACTAAGAGCAGCCAGTCGTCCATGTAATGGTAGAACCACAGGCTGTGAGAATGAATGAATCTATCAAAGACACTGACCACCCAATTGAATACATTCCTATCATGAAAACTACATTTAACCAGGTTTCAGTTATTGCCTTTACATCAAAATCCTCGGTTCCAACCAATGCTCTAAGTTCATACACTATATTTCTTATATTTCTATGATTACAATAGTAACAATTTATCCTACCATTAAAACTACATTTTTGTTTTGTTCCTACACAATACTTTTCTCTATGTATCATCTTTTCTTTATTATTCTGGCCCTCCACACTGTCTAGTCCACGTTTAGAGCCATCCTTACAGTTGACTTAATAGCCCTTGCATACAAGCCAGCCACTATCCTGTTTAAATGTGAACCATCCATTCCAAAAACTATCCATTCTGGAAGCCAGACCAAACAGCAGAGTGCAGGATTGATAAACTTGACCTTTGTGGACAAAATGAAGGTAACATCTGGATGTTGGGGATATTGAGATGTGAAGGTAAGCATCCGAGACATTCATCTTTGTCATCCAAAGGCCCACCAAAAAGCGAGGTAGAACTCCATGGTGAAACGAGGAAAGTCTGGATGCCAGTCCCTGGTCTTCTTGGGAACTACAAACAACCTGGAATAAAACCCCGGAGAAGGTACAAGACATGCTGACTCCAGAATGTAACTGTGCTATAAACTGGTCCGTATGAACCCTGATATGTTGAGAGGAAGGGAATCTAGATAATCAGAGGAAGGGGCAGGAGGGAAGGAGAAGAATAATAAGACACAGGGGATACAAACAAAAGATTATAAAGTCTGTGACACCATATCCAGGAAGGCTGAAGACAGCCTGTGAGCATCCACAGGTGGAAATTGGGATTTCACGGCAAATGAAGGAGGTGGAAACAGGCTATCCAAATCTTCATTGTCCTGACCAGGTACACTAGGAAAAGGAATAGCTGTTCTGGGATTGGGACATACAGCAGGCCACATAATGTACTCCAATATGACACACTAAAACTGAGACCTCCTTATCTGTAAGTATGGGGCCCAAAGCCTGAGAAATTGCATGCTGAGTCACAGTAGCAAGATTAACAACAGTAGTAGTAGTAGTTGTGATTTGGAATTCTGAATTCATAATTCAACTGACAGTGGATACTCAAATATCAACCAATAGTATCTAGTTTCACAGTAGAAACAGAAAAATTAAAAAACAAAACTAGAAACACCAAGAAAGTTGTGCAACAAATTAAACTTTTAACTCCAAAATACAAAGCAAACTTGAGCAAATATTGATTGATCCACTCTGATGGCATACTTTCAAATGGGAAAGAAGTTCGGATGAAATTTCTTAAAATACAAAATGATGCAAAAAAGAAGCTCTTTTGAGATCAGGACCACCATATGACACATCATGATAGGCTAAGGTATCAACAGAAAATAAAAGCCATGTTATAATACAAACAACATCAGTGAGAGCTGTAGCCAAGGCAAATTGCACAGCAGAAAGCTAATCTGACTAAAAGAATGAGGAAGAGATTAGCTGATAAATAACAACTGTATAGAAGAAAAAAGTCTCAAGTCAAGACAAATTATAGTGCACAAAGCAGGAAACTGATGTTGAATCAAAGTAGAAGACAGTGTGGTATAACACTCCAGGAACTAATGACCTCACTACAAGGACTCCACATATGACAAATGCAAGGAACTTGAAAGCTGTTAAGATTTTGTTGACTTCTAAAAACATTACCAATAATCCAAATATCATGAAAAGGTGGTAGAAATAAGGATTCCACAAATGAATCCTCTAACGTGACACTGGGCTTAGGTATGTTGTACTGACATGCACAGTAAGTCACATGAAAATATGATAGTATGAAAGCAACTCAACAAGAAAAGGCTATTGATATTTCAGAAGTAAGTCAACCTGATTTACATATTGACTTCATTTTTATCTGTAGTGACAATTTCTGAACAAACCAAAAATCTAAATCTTAATATATACAACTATACATGCATACATACCAACTAACATCTTCATACATTTTTCATGATACATATAAAAACTGGCACATGGGGCCCATGCCCTGTATCTCCAGTTAGTGTCTTGAAAAATGAGAATTAAAAACCATGATCTTGGGGGGGGGTAAAAAAAAACACTGAACTAGAACCATCATCTATTCAAAATCAAAGTAATTTTTATTATTATTATTAGGTTATTTCCTTTTCATTACTTGATTCTCTTTCATCTTCTGGGAACAAGAATACAAAAAAAAAAAAAATGCATCACATGCATGGCAACAATTTGAGAAACCTAAGAATCTAATGTTACACAACAGATCTTTAAGAAGAAAAAAAAAAAGACTTTGTTAACAAAATGTATAAAACCAGTATAATATTACAATATTTTTGTGAAATCACACATCTGAAACCTGTTTCCATAATTTCATCATTTATATTACTTTAGAAAATTTTACTATTAAAATATAAAGGCAAGTAAGTTAGATAAAAGAAAGAATGCTTTTAGTTAGACTAAAAGTATTTGCCCAATTCATTAAACAAGTAACATTTACCTCTGAATCACTTGTACTTTCAGTGGAAGAATGTTTCCTCCTCTTAGTTTTCTTGCGTTTTTCTTTGATTTTTCTCTAAAATATGAAAATGGTGAATACTTTTATGTTGTTATTCTAATACAATATCTGTATTGTAAAAAATAAAATACTCTTTCAGTGTTTTTGTTTACTTGTTTGATCACAAATCTACTCAACAGAGTATATGTACTGAGCCTATAGCATGGATCAGATCTAAAATTTTAGTATTATAAAACCTCAAGAAAGTTTAGAATTAAAAACATTACTTATAAAGGAAAAATTTGTATGTAATCATAGGTTTATTAATCTATATAAATAAAATAGTACTGTCTGTTGTATGTCCATGTAACTATTTTGCAGGGTGTGGATGGATCTTCACCAAAATTAGTATAGATCCATGCAGGGGTACATACAAATTTTAAGTTTTGTGGTTTTTATGGGCATTCTTACATTTTTACCCTGTAGATTGATCTTCACTAAATTTGGTATGGATTTTCATTAGGTACATGGAGAGATACAAATTTTCAGCTTTGCATTTTGTGGTTTTTATGGGCATTTTTGTGTTTTTACCACTACTTCATCCTGTGTTGATGGATCTTCACCAGATTTGGCATGAAGGTTTATTTGGTCGATGCGGAGATACATGCAAATTTGTTATTTCACATTTTGTGTTTTGCAGTGTTTATGGGCATTTTTTACAACTACATATAAGGGAAGCAACTTTTCATGTCCGAAGATAACCTTTCATTAATCATGAATTTATATAACTCCGGCTAGTTATATTTAATTTTCAAAGTTTTTGTTGAACTTTATATATATATATATATA